AACAGTTTTGTAGCTATCTATTGAATACTGAAAGTTTTTCATCTACACTTAAACAAATGTTGATTGAAGTTTTGTACTGTCTGCTCATATTCATCTTACCTCTGTATTACACAGCTATAGCATCATATCCACTCTCCAGCTCAATAGCTCGCACTTTCACAGACTGCTGCACTAGTTTCTTAGGTTAAACTTTCTTCAAAAGGTTCTTGGCTAATATTCTGAAATAAGTTGTGAGGCTGTGTTTTAATAGGCAGAGAATACAAAGCAATTGCAGTACCTTTGTAAACTGTTTACCATTTTCATCGCTGTCTATGTCATCATTTCTATGCATCAATGGTTTTATTCTTGGGCAAGTTATCACAGAGGTTATATATGTAACTATGATTTTGCCTGTCAGAATGTGAAACTAATGCTCTTATCCTCAGGAGCTGCATATATAAGATTACCCTTAAACCAATTAATAAATTAATACATTATTATACATTTATTATATAGGTGTATTAAATTATATATGACATCTCAGATGGTTATGTAAATACATAAGTATGTGGGTTGCTCCAAAAGTAATGTGTCCCATTTATTTTCATGGAAACTACAACAAAGAGTACAATACTACTACTACCAGATAGAAGAGATTCTCAGTTACAAAACATTGTTTTTCAGTAATCACCGTCATTAGCTATGTATTTTTGCCAGTGGTGAACAAGAACCTGTACACTGCACTCATCAGAATCTGAACTGTTACTGTCACCAGTATTGAAATTCACCATCCAGTGCGTCACTGCACTAACATCCACAGTTTGATCTCCATAGAAGTTAGCCAGCATCAAAGAATGTCAGTGGGTGCCATTTTTCTGCATGGATGAATTCAGTGACACACCTTTGCTTCATCCACACTTCCATATCACACGACATTTTGTCAGACTGCCTCTCTGCTACCATCTGTTTCATGTCAACAACATGTAGAGGAATATAGGTGGGAAGGTTCAGCCTCTACTGCCATACCACCAATATCCACCTCTGATGTTGTGGGCCAACGTGATAAAATATGAGGCATTACTTTCTGAGCAGCCTTCATATAATGTGATTCAACAAAGAGGAGAGATGATTTCAGAAGTGCTAATCCTTCCCCTTTATCTACCTCTGGCTGTGTCCCTGTGGACATAGGTAAAGGTGATGAGATAATGCGGGAACAGTAAGAAAACTGTTGCAAAAAAGAGGGAAAAAGAGGAATACAAAAAGGAACAGGCGATGGGAAGTTAAATAAATGATATATTAAGAAATAAGTAGTGGAATGAGTTTGAATTTTAAAATTAATGTTACAATATTGATATGATATAGAAGGTAAATGGCAAAGGAGCTGAAAAGGATAATAAAAGAAAATTACTGCCAGCAGTATGTACTCAGAAGAATTGCTGAGAAATAAGGAGATGGGACAGAAACATATCAAAAAGAGATTAAGTATCAGTTATGTCCGTGAAAGCAGAAAGCGAAAAACTAGCTCTTTGGGAAGAGCTTTTATCTCTTATAGAAGTGAACAAAAACTGCAATATGGCTTTGAAGGATGAGGGAGGAAGCAAGACCTAGCTGTTAGAGAAGCCTGTTTTCCAAGTCCATTTTTTATATGAACTCTGTAGGCAGTTTAAAATTAAGTAGCCTTTCATACTCATGTATATAAAAGTTATTCACAAATACAAATTGAATATCTCAAAACAAATATATGAGATAGATATATGGCAAGCAGAAGATTTTTCAGTGATACATTCTTAGTATTCTGTCAGCTGTTTAATCAGGCAAGGAGACTTGATCATCTACATAATACAATAACCAATATAATTAATAATTATTAAATTTCCTTGCTATCAATTTGAAATACAAGTTTCTGCCATAAACTATAAAGCAACTATAAAACATAATTAGAGTTGTTCAATATCTGCAACATAAATCACTATTTTTCATTAAAACAAACTAATAAAAAAATGTACGATTTGTTTTTAACATTTCATGGGGACTTGTTTCCCTTACACAAGCACATAATAACTCTCACTCTGTATGTTCATACTAAATGGAAGCTGTATTACAAAAATGTAGGCAATTCATTGAAAATATATGCATAATTGGACTTGATGACCTTGAAGATATTTCTGACCTAAATGATTCTATGAAATATCCTTGGACATTCTTCGTATGTTTGTATAGATGTACTGGATTAATACCTCTACTGTAAAGAAAGAGTTATAAAATCTTTCTATAAATAATAGACTCCCACACATATCTGAAATCTTGAGCTACACTTAGTAGTTTAATCTCATTAACTGAGCATAAACACAACCTTCAGGAGTGAGGACACTTCACAGAAGTGTGTTGTCCATATCGTATTTTGTGCTGAATATGAATCTAGTGGCCTGAAGTCTGAGGATTAACAGGAACATCCTTACAAAAGCTTAATAATAGGGATGTTCTTTCAACATCCACTGGAAATGAAATACCTAGTACAAACAAAGGAGCAAGAGAAAGACAAAGGTTTTCAAATTCAAAAGGTACATAATTCAGAATGTCCTTTTTGTTATAGATAATTCTATTTGAAAATGGTAATTCACATGTCACTGCACTCTTTGCAAAAGAATTGATACCGAAAAAAGCACTGGGATGACACATGGCCTAGAAAACCAAACCAAAACAGCTTCTCAGAGACCAACCCACTTTGCATTAGAATTATGACTGTAGAATCATAAAATGACTTAGGGCGGGACCTAAAAATCACGTAGTTCCAACCCCCCTGCCTTAGACAGGGTTGCCAACTGGTAGATCAGGCTGCCCAGGGTCTGATTCAACCCAACCCTGAAGACATCCAGAGATGGTTCCAGTACCTCACCACACTCTCAGTGAAAAACTTCCCTCTGACTTCTAATCTAAATCTACCCTCATTTAGTTTAAAAACATTCCACCTTGTCCTGTCACTATCAGACTCTGTAAAAAATTTGTCTCTTTCCTGCTTGTAAGTTTCCTTAAAATACTGGAAGGCTGCAATGAGGTCTCCTGGAGCATTCTCTTCTTCAAGCTAAGTAAACCCAACTCCCTCAGCCTTTCTTCATAAGAGAGGAGCTCCAACCCTTTAATCTTCTTTGTTGTCTTCCTTCAGACCCACTCCAGCAGCTCTTCATCCTTCTTGTGCTGAAGGCCGCAGGCTTGGAAACAGTACTCCAGGTGGAGCTTCATTTGTGCAGAGTAGAGGGGAACAATCACCAACCTCTCCCTGTCCACTGATGCCTTCATTCCATCAGAGAAGGCCACCAGACTAGTCAGGCACAATCTGCCCTTGGTGAGAATATACTGGCTGTCTCAGATCACCTCTTCATCTCACATGTGCATTTACATCTCTTCCAAGAGGATCTATCCATGATATCCCCAGGCACAGATGTGAGGTTCACTGTCCTCTTGTTTTCCAAGTCTTCCTTTCTCTCTTTCTTGACTAAGGGAGTGATGTTTCCCCTTTTCCAGCCACTGGGGACTTTGCGATAACCACTTAAGCAAGACAACGTGATGATATCCTAAAGAATGTAATTTCAATTTCCACATTAAAAGGAAAGTACACTTGTTTCTGGTGGGGGGAAAAAAAAGAAAGAACAACAATGTTTAAGCACTTTTAAAAGGACACCTAAAATATTAATTACTGCTTTACTTCAGCTAATTTCATATAGAATAATTGCATAGATAATACACTGATTTGCATGGATTAATGTTACTTCACAGAAAAGCAAGTTATTTTGAATCAGAACTGTCTACAGGAGCCACCATTTGTTTCTTGTAATTATACATCTCCTGAGTAGATGATTTTGCCTATCAATATTTCTTCAAAATTCTTCCTTTCAATAATGTTCTGCATACCAGCACTATTTTTGCATGTGGTCAGGGCCTGAAGCTCTTTGATGTGATGTTTGTCTTGATTCACAACATTGTGAAGCCTTTAAAGACTTAAGAGCATTGTGGAGGGAATCTGATTGACTCCAGATCTACTTCAGGTTTCCCCCTTGGTCCTTGCTTCTGCTACTTCAGCTTTCTCAATCCTGGAGAGTTGTGATGGGTGATACAGGTCTGTGTGACCCTGTTAACTACCACTGGAACTAACATACATATGCACCTGAGGAAATAGCTGCCATATGTAAACCTCCTACAGATCAAATAGCATTCAGAAATGTGCAGTAATTAACTGTTTATCTCCATCACCTTACCTGTAAGATAAACGTAAGGTTCCCTGAATCCATTTTTATCTGAGGTTTTTTGCACCATTTTTTCATCCTGCTTCACAGGATCTCAGAATAGCTAATACTGGCAGAGCCTTTTGAATCCATCTTCTCCAACTCCTGAACCAGCAGGGTCACCCAGAGCAAAGATCCCACATCCAGACAGGTTTCAAAGATCTCCAAGGAGGAAAACTCCACAGCTTCTCTGGGCAGCCTGTGCCACTGTTCAGTCACCTGCAATTTCACTTTCTTTCAGACAGAAGCTGCTACAAGGAATTGGCAAGGCCTCTTTTTTGCTTCTTTCCTGAAAACTATTCAGTGACACTTTTCCTGCATAGCGTCTCAGAACACCTCTATGATGAGAAAGAGAATACACCCTAGCCAAGAGAGATCAACAAAGAGACCAAGAGACCAGGAGAAACTGTGAGGAAGTCTCTGCAATTTAATAACAAGCCCACAAGCAAATTTCTTAACTGAATAGAGTGGGGAATGAGAGGGAAAACTGAACTCCCCTGTGAAATCTGAATATTTATTAGAGCTGGAATAACAGGCTGAAAAAATCTTAAATATATCCTATTGTTCTTGTTTATTTCAACACTAGAATCGTAGAAATACCATGCCTGACATATAAGACTTACTTTGAGTGCTGGAGCACAAAAATATCTAATAAACCTGAGATTTTTAAATGATAATAGATCCTGTATCTTCTTTTTGTAAAAATGGTGTCCCTTACTCTATTTTCTTCTGCATCAGTGATTAACTATTGATGATACTGAAGACGTTTGTTAAAGCAACTGGAGCAGCAGAAGGGAGAATGTGGCAAGAAAACTAATAATATTCTGAAGAAGATACAGCTCTACTATTCAACTTGCAGGTTAGAACTGAAGTAATTTTTAAAAATGTTACCTTTCTAGAATCTATCCTCAAGATTAAATATGTAACAAAGGATAATCTGAGAATACTAATACTAAAATAAAGCAAGATCTCAAGGTAAAGAACTCATTACATACAAATTTATGGAGATGAATTAATGGTGTTGATATCTACTCCACAGTAATATTTTTTTCCAAATGTTCCTACTTTTGATTGTTAAAAACTAGCAGTACAAGAACAGTTTATCTCTGCACAATGAAAAAAAAAAAATGAGAAGTTACACATAAGCTTTAAAAAATGTAAAAGAATTTAAGTACAAATATACCTATCTACACTAATAGTAAATAAATTCAGAATTATATTCTCAGTTCGAGATTTTGATGTCACTTTAGTTCTTTGATAGACAGTAATTTTAATGAAATAATCATATTGAAAACTTTTAAGTGAGGTACAGCTGTAATTTTTCAGTAGGTTCTCACTCACACTCATTTAAAAATCTAATCTATCTGTAGTCTTTCTCTTAGCACTAAGTGGAGAAATCTCACTTATGCAGTATTTTATTTTTTCCCTTCATAATGTTTTGCTAACTCTATCTCATTTTCCACCTTGGCACTTCTGATTTTGTGCCTAGGTTTTAATGTTTTTTTTTTTTTTCTTTTTAATGATTTTAATAGTTCAATATATTTTCCACATTCTGTATGTGCTATGTCGTTTGAGATCACTGGAGCTTTCATTACAGTATCAAATTCATCCCTGCTTGTATTTTTTAGTCTTTCTCTACTTCAGAATAAATGCATGCATAACTTAGCCTATTTAAGGAATAGGAACTGCTCTGATCCTAATTCCCTTTCTATCCAGACTTTCATCCCATCCCATTTTCCTACCATTTCCCTGAATTTAAGTCTACTTTCCTGAACTTTATTTCACGATTTTGTAGAAGACTTTTTATTTCCTTTCTATGGGCTGTAGTCTCTCTCTTTTCATGTTCATTCTCTTGCAGGCTTTTTGCCAATTTCTTATTTTCTGCCATTCCTTTCTGATGTCTAGAATCAGATATATAACATTCTTTTTATTATATCAACTCTTTTTTTCATGTAAAAATATGCTGGATATTCTTTGCCTTGCCATACCTATTTTCTAAAAACTTTTACTACGATTGTCTACACAGTTGAAAGTTGATTCTCTTTACTTTCTTTTCTCCTCTTCTTTATTCCAGAAGAAAACTCTGATCTCCCTCAAGAATCACATCTCAATTGCTAGTTTACAGCTGATCTGATCATTTCATCCAGAAAATGTGTATGTTCTCTTTTTGGATCTAACTGCTTTCTAAAAAGAGAAACACAAAAAACCCACTCTCTCATTTTCATCCCTTGCAGATGTTTCTGGAGCAATTATACTCATTAATACTCTAATCATGTGAATTATCCTACTGTGATTCTTTCATATGCCAATTGAGTAACTGTTGAGATCACTAATTAACACTTCCGCTCTTCCTGTTTTTTCTCTTACTTCTCAAATTAGTAACAATTAAAATATTCTGTGGATTGGCATACTACCATTCTGCTTGTCCTTCTTATGACTTTCTTGAAATCAGCCCTTAATTCAACAATTTTGAGATCCTTTTTGTAGCAATTATTGTCTGTTCATATCTGTGAACAGCAAAAACAGTCCCAAAAAGACAGGGCATGAAAATCTTTAAATAAGATAAGCTTAAACTAACACAACTCATCACTGCATATAGACGGTGTTTACATGGCACTGGCAAAGTTCCTATCCCAGCAACAGAGAGATTTCATCACTTTGAAAAGGGCAGTTTAAGATTTAAATCTAAAGTTCCATTTGGATTTAAATTGCTACATGAAAATGCCCAGAGAAGTCATGGAAAAAAAAAAGCAAAATACTCTTTGTCATTGCCAATGGTGATAAATTATGCTAAAAGAATTACCATATGTCAAGACTTATAATTGGTTTAATACAGTATTTCACAAGTGCATTCACAGCACTGCTAACAGTAGACTATGATTTCACACATACTTTCAGGGTGAAGCTATTTCTTAGCAAAGAACTCTTCTTTGCAGCAATCCACACATGTCTTTAGACATAACATGTTAAGTGTCAGATAGCCATTTCATTCAATTTGTTCCAAAAAGAAACGTTTTCAATTATTGTCTTTAATATCATTAAGTGCATCGGTTACACATCTAGAACCTTTTATAAGGCCTCTGTAATTCTAAGAATTTATACCTAGGTCACATGTAGTGAAGTCACTTCAGTCATGGCAGAGTGAGCTAAGTTTACTCTCATTCAGCCAGTCATTTGTAAAATTTTCTTTCTCATTTCTTTTTGATAACGTTCCTTCCATGTACTTCTGAAATTCACAAGAAATTATTTAAGTTCTTGGTTTTATTAGAAAGCAGGTAATAGAATGAAAGCACTCTTTGTGTTATTGTTTTCTTCTTTCAAGAATGTTAGTGACTAACCATAACAGCATCTCTTTGATTGTATCTTGAAGCATCACAGATTTCTTTAATACCTGTTCTGCGTAATTACCTCTTTTGTGCACATCACCTAAATTCAGCTAGAAACTAATTAGTCTTTGCACCTATGTAAACAGGTTCAGAAGCTGTAATGTTGATAATAAAGTTTTGAGTTTGGGCCTAATTCTTCAGTGCAATTCTTCAGTGCAGTTCAACACCTTGCGGAATTAGAATCATAAAATCTAAGATTCCTATGATTCTAATTCCCAAGGTGTTGAATCACTTGTAGAAAAATGTTGAGTCCTCAGATCTTAGTGGAACTGAGAGTTTTTACTTCACTGAAGAATTAGGCCCAAATTCAAACCTAATTTCTTTGTCAACATCACAGCTTCTGAACCTGTTCACATAGGCTGCAATGACTAATGTACTAGTCAAATCTGTTTTTCTCAGAGCAGTTTTGAGAACTGGAACTGGAAGATAGGAAACCACAGTACTTTAGAGAAAGGAAGGAAGCTACAGTGAAGCTGCAAATATGCTTCTTTACCCTCCAGTAATAAACACATATTCCTTTCTTACAAAGCTTGTGCCTGTAATCTTCAATCCAGAGACTGTGTCCATGCTAATTCACGTGGAAGATGCCTGAAAGGTCATGCAAAATACTGCTTCTGCAAAATACTGGAGAGATGTCATCATTCTCAGTTCTCAGTTCTCTGCACTGCCAAGTGTTTGATCTATAAATTTATATTTATGGCAACAGTCCACATTCATACTGAAAATCTGCAAACCATTTTGCCCAGCAGTAGTCAGTACATTAATTTGCAACACAGTTGGCAGAGTATACAGTAAGCAGAATGGCCATCCGATTTCCTTCAAAGTTTTCTTCACAGAGGATGAACATGCTGTTTACTACATCTTCAAAAAACTTGCATGAATGTGCACTTTATAAGATTATAACATGTTCCCATAATCAAGAATGAGAAGAGGGGGGAAAGTACAACAAAAGCAGAAACAACCTACAATGCCAATTGTTCTCTGTATCTGCAACATTTTAAAACAGGAGAGCATAGGGTTTTTTTGTCCATAACAACAGTAATTTTCCACTTTCTAATTCAAGCTTATTTCTTGATCTGAGCAATATTAGCTCTGAAAGTTATGGCTAGTTAGCCATACATCTTATATAAAGCAAGACCCAAATCACGTAAGCGTTTCAAGAACTCCATAAAATTACACATTGCAGTTAAACATTACACAATGTTTAAAGTCAATTATCAAGGAGTATTTTTCACAAGAATATGTCAAATACTTTTCACAAGAATATTTTAATAGAAAAATTAGCATAGGATATGGGTAAATATTTCTTGTATCCTGATTACATTCTCCCTCCTTCATCTTTCTCTGTCTATCTGGTGGTCCCATGAAGAGTTTTAATCAATCTTCTGACGATTTTAAGTAGGATGATAGCAAGCCTAATAAAATTCATGTAAAAAATTTATGGAACAATCAGCCCAAAACCAGTGAAACAAGCCTGAAAGGACTCCAGGAGATACAGATCATTTCTGCAGTTGATCAGTGAAATGAGAAGTGTAGAAATGTTCTCAGCTGTGAAACAAAACTCTCCTGAGCAGAATTCACGGGTTACTGAGGAATGTAAGGGGCTTGAAACAAAGCCTGGAAAACATTGCAAAACCACCAAATGGAGAGCTGAGAAACCAAGAACTGTAAACAGTTTCTTTTTGCATGATTTGTTGAAAGTACCATAGTATGCTTCCAGACAAAAGAATGTGAGAAAGTTGGATCTCTGTAAGGACAGAAGAACAGGCAGAGGTCATCAGCTCAGAAGGCCCTTGTGTGTTTAAATTCTTTAAATAAATTGTGTGTTGCCATTATAAAATGAATAGTTGACAATTCTTCTACAGAAATTCAGCTGGAGTCAGTTTCAAATATACTTGGTTTTTGCTTTCTTAGTCTTTACCAAAGATAGGGGAAACAGGATCAAACTACACACAGGTATATTTCTGGGAATATCAAGACCTTGTAATGTACTTCAGTCTTCTGAATAATGAAACTCATTCTCATGGAGATGATCATCATAACCTAGATTTTTAGTCTTCAGTAATGCATAGCATAGTAAATTCAGAGAAAGGATGGGGGAAGGAATAACATTTCTATAATTTGAAAGATATTGCTGCAGTCAATAAATTATACTTTTGTTCTTCCCTAGTGATTTTTTCACACCTTGAAAATTAGCTTAAAACTGTCAAATTTAAAAATGTGCTTGTTTACCTGAATTGAAAGCTTGAACTGAGTTTCTGTTACTCTCAGCAGAAGTGACTTTTAGATGAAAGCTGAACTCTGACCTTGTCATATAGTCTCTGCTGAAATCAGTGAAATGTGAATTTACTACCAAGTGAAGAAATCAGTTTAGGCATAGCATCCTTATCAGATATTGGAAATAAAATAAGTGCAGCAAGTCTTAAATGCCGACTCTATTTTTATCTCTCTCTTATGCTGTCCTTGATACTTCTAAAGCTAAACCCAGCTGAGATCACTGCATCTAAAAATGGCTGTTTCGCTTTAAAAGCTTAGTGTCCCTTTATAGATCCTTTCCTCCACATATGGAGTAGAGGACATATATTTCCACTGGTGCTGAAGCAATACAAAATACAATGGAAGAAGGATGAATATAGGCTATGTGTAATTTAGCAAGTACGTGGCACGAGAGTGAAATCTGTACAGTGAATTATTTGCTGCAGAGGATGAGCAATCAGAGTTATATATATTTGAAAGTGTTATTCCTGACTAGTTCCAGTTTGATCCTGTGAACTAACTGCCCATTTGGAGTTAGAGCTCATTAACTGCGCTCTTTCTGCACAGCATCTCGTACCAATTCAGTCATCAGGAAATAATTGAGTAAGAGCACTCCAAAAATACTGGCAAGACAAAGCACAATTGTAAAGAGTCTCCTCACCTAATACAAAACACTAATCTGGACACACCTATAAATTGCCTAAAATATTCTTATTTAAGATTCTCCAGACTAATCGTATGCTGTTCCTGAAGTCACCATAGCAGCACATGATACTGAGAGGATTTGAGGGCAATGAAAAAGCAGTGGAAAGATCCACTAGTGTGTCACGCCAGCAGGGATGAAATGAGGAATGCTAAGGTCCAGTTGGAATTAAATCTGGCAAAGAAAATCAAGGATAACAAGAAAGGCTTCTGTAAATATGTCAGCAGTAAAAAGAGGACTATGGAAAACATGCTACTAAATGAAGTAGATGTCCTGGTAACAGGAAACAGTGAGAAGGCAGAGATACTGAATGCCTTCTTTGCTTCAGTCTACAAATACTGCTCTTTGGAAATTCCAGCCCCTGGAGGTAAGAGGGAGAGTCTGGGGAACTGAAGGCTTCCCCTTGGTTGAAATGGATCTGGTCAGAGAATGTCTAGTCAAAAATCAACGCACACAGTCCCATGGGCCCCAGTAGGATGCAGCTGTGTGTGCTGCAGGAGTTGGCAGAAGTGATTGCCAAACTGATCTCTGTCATCTTTGAGAGGTCTTGGTGAATAGAAGAGGAGATTGAAGACTGGAAAATAGCTAATGTCACTCCAGGTTTCAAAAAGTGCAAGAGAGAGGATCCAGGAAACTAATGCCAGTCAGCCTTACTTCCATCTTGGTAAGGTGATGGAATAACTTGTTCTGGGATGATATCTCCAAGCAATTAGAAGTGAAGAAGGCTATCAGAAGTCAGCATGGATTGACCAAAGGCAAATCATGCTCAACCAACCTGGTAATTTTCTGTGAAGTCATCACTGGCTGAGTAGATGGGGACAGAAAAGTGGATGTTGCACACCTTGACTTCAGCATGGTGTTTGACACTGTCTCCCCACAACATTCCTCTAATGAAACGTAGAAACTGGGATGGATGAGTGGACAGCAAAGTGGATTGAGAACTGACTGACTGGCATAGCTCAGGGAGTTGTCATCAGTGGTGCAGAGTCTGGTTGGAAGCCTCTAACAACTGGTGTTCCCCAGGGGTTGATGCTGGAAGTGGTCCTATTCCCACCCTACTAATGCACCTAATTTATGCCTTTTCTGGGTGGTTGATTATATTCTAGCTTGAGATGACAAACAAATTTGTTGTAAACTGTCAGGAAAAAATTAGTCTTTCACAGTTACTGAATAAAATTACAGTCAAAAATATAAAAATAAAATTGAAAGCTTAATCATAATGAATAGTAACAATTATTATTCTTTTACATGTTATTGATCTTCACCTCTTTGCTACCAGTATAAAGTAAAAAATCTATTTTAATGTTGATGAAGGAATATTTCTTCATCATGAATAACTAAACTTTACTCCCAGGGAAACCAACATATGCTCTTAAGATATACATATACAGTGTCATCTTTTTCAGATATTCCATACTTGGTGTATGGGAATTGCTAAGTCATGGCCTGAACCAGTGATTGAGCACCTGGTGAAGGAACACAGCCAGCCGTAGGAGCACAGATGAAAGCAGTTCACCTGTGCAACCAGAAGAAGTGAAACCAAGTTCTTCCCCTCCCTAAAGATGAGCTGAGACAAAGGTAGGTTTTCTAGCTGGAGATCCCTCCTTTTGGAATATTTAGTGAGTGTTTATTCTTGGGACAGGTAAGCAAAAATTATTTTCTTTAACTGAATTACGATTATCACCCTTTTTTCTAGTTTTAGAATTGGTTATCTGCCATCGTCTTTCCTAACATTTTGACTGAACAAGGTCTGATCAATCTGCACTTTCACATGTGCTTATCATGATGCAGATCTGTTTGTACTGGTTGTTAGGAGCACCTTGTGCAGTAGTTACCTCCTACCTCCTACAGGGTTCTGGGATTCCCTGGTCACTTCTGAAGGAGAAGCAGAGAATAGGATAACAGAAGTTTAAAATTCTTCCCTGGAGCAGATGAAGTGGGGACTTTAATCAGACACTTCCATATTCTAGAATAGCAGTGCAACTTTAGGAATGGAATGATCAAAGTTCAAATCCAATGGAAACCAAGTTTACTTTCTCCTAATAAAATAATCATCCATCTGAATCTTCAGAAATCTCAGTGTTATCATATTTCAGATTAAAACAAATCCAGAATATTCAAATTATATGACAAAGTGAAGTGGATAAAAGGGCTAGACATGCATTTTCTCTTTCTTTATTTTTAGTAATATTGCAGCATTCTCTCTGAGGAGACTTCTCATCAAATACTGCAATGCTGCAGATTTAACTGTTTAGCCAAGGATCTAGATAAGAATCTGTATCTATTCTGATGTACGCTTAATATAAAAGACAAGACATATCAAAAACTAGATTCATAAAAGCTTCAGGTACTGTGAGCTGTTGCAGGATGTGTTGCATTGTTAGTATGTTTTAGAGCTATGACATCAGCTTTAAAATAAACTTGAAAAAAGAAACAGAAAGGTATCACATTTGGAGGAAAATATTTAACAAGATTTTTTTGTTTTTCTTCATTTGATTTTGTGTGATCATTTCTAACTAAGCAAAAAAGCTAGGACAGAAAACTATTTATTAAAAGTAGTTTTCATTATCTGTGGCTCCCAGCATGTTTCTACCCTCTGTCTCCCCTCATAAGAAGCCCATTCTTTTCTCTTTGTCTCTTCCTCCCCATCCTTACCCATTTATTCAGTGCTGAAAAAGTTGAGATATTCAGTTAGAAAGAGAAGTCTTCATTGAGCAGTCACCTCAGCCAGCCCATCCATTAATGTCCACTGGACCAGAACAGCAGCTAGCAGAGTTCTGAAGAGGCCTGACACAGCTGTGAAGTTGGTGTATTTTAGGCAGGAAAGAACCCTACCAGGCACAGCATCTGTTTTCTATTAAAGCTATACAGAGATGCTTCCTTTGGGATGAATGAAGTACATTCAGATCTTAAAGTTCCCAGCTGTTCACCACAAAAGAGCTGAACATTTTAAGATATCCATCTTTGACAGAAATCATCATGGTCCATCAGAAATCCTACAGGACTTTTCCATTCAAACTTTTTTATTTTTCTCCCCGTTGGAACCTGCTGTGCCAGCAGTTTTTGCTGCACCTACCACATCTCAGTGTGCTGAGAGGCTCGCTAATGCCACAGTACTGTTGCAAGAGGAAGGGCAAAAGGTCTGATCTGTATGTGTCATGGCTTTCTAAGGGAGGAAGTAATTTGAATACAGTGAATGAAGTATAAAAGAGGGAAGGTACATGTGTGGGGCTGGTAAGCTGCTGCCCAAGGAGCAAAGTCAAACATCTGCATTTTGGAAGAAGAGTGCTTGCTTAGAGAGAAGTAGGAAACTGCTTCTGTGGGGCAGGAGAAGTTTAGAGGGAGACAGTACAAATGGCCTACAGGACCAAAAGCCTATTATCACTTTTAGTCATCTTTTTCCTCAGTAATCATACAATTCTCCTAATATATTCAAATACCTTCCCAATGATTTCTGCCACGCTCTGTCTCTATAAATATGATACTCAAGAGCACTATGTTAGATCATTCTGGGTGATATCCCCCAGCAAGTGAGCTGTGTCAAAGGAGAATCCTATATACAACATATTGCTGCTAAATATAATGAACTCAGTCAAAGAATGCTCTTTGCTCCAGTTATTCACACTGTATCTCCTGAGTGTAATTAGAAGCCAAGATTTCTCCCCAGGAAGGAAGATCTGCAACTTACTGAGGATTAAGAAAACGTTGTCCTAAATCCAGTACCTTCAGCAGTGGATTTTCTTAATTTTTTTTTTTTTTCTAAACAAGAGGGATGAAAAAACTGGAAGTCTTAAAAACACTCAGTTGCCTCTAGACCACATATAAAATACTGCATCTAGTTTTGGGATTCCTGAGCACCATAAAGGCATAATTTTAAATAGTTTTGGACTGGCTTTTGCTATAGGAAATGCCTAGCAGTAAAGTGGTTAATCACAAATTGTTTAGCTGCCATCCTTGGAGGTTTCAAGATCTGACTATATAAAGCTCAAAGCAGCCTAATCTAACTTTGCAGATGTTGCTTTCAGAAGACTGACTACAGAGCCTCCTGAGATCCCTTCCAAAGGGAATTGCCCTTCTGAGTAGTCTCATAGGATTAAGATGGACAGTATTTGAAGATCAGATTTCATGGAAGACTTCACAAATAGTTCTACAAGATGGTAAACATGTATACATATTTAGTTTTATAATTTTAACTTTTTTTTTTTTTGCTTGTTTAATTTTTTAAACAAAACAGTACTGTTGTCTTTGGAATAAATAGTTCACCGTTAATGGAGCAGAAGATGGGTTCATCACAGAATGACTGAATATCTCCTTTCCAAATTTCTTGTTTTATGCACTGAGACTGGTAGAGAGGTATTAATAGATAAATATATACAGCTGGGACTGTGATGCAAATGCTAGTTAATGTGATACTAGGACTAATCATCAACATACTTCAGAAGTGACTTCCAAACTATAATTGAAGAATCTGAAATACTGTTATTTTGGAACTTGGAATATTTCAACCTGGAATAATTCTTTCTTGGTTAGGATTTCTCAGGAGTGAAACTGTAATTACCATTTTTTCCTACAGTCTCAGTAAAAATTTTGTAGACAAAAATTCAAAGCAAGATAAATGAGGGGAAAAATACATGCAAGTATATAGATGCTCTCTTCAGTTTCAAAGAAAATTTTAGATAGCCAACTTATTTTCCAGAACTGATTGAATTGATTCTCACAATAAAATCTGCCAAGAAAATCACAGATTTATTGCAAGGAAATTGTATAAACTTATAGTCAAATTTTCAATTAATGAATTACATAAATACTAGTGAAATTCATAGGTGGTATTAGTAGGTCAGAATACAGAATTCTACTAATTAGGATTAGTACCAGATGCATTAGAAATACAGGTAAAACAATTTAATGCTAAGCTGAAGAAAATGTGGAAATGATAAAGATATGAAATAGCAGTATATACATTTCTTCTTCAGAAGAGAAGGAACTAGGACAGCAATCTTCATATGTTGGAAATGAAGAGAAAATCAGATGTAGATCGGCAGGTACGAAAATGAAGTCTTATTAAAGCAGACGTACCATGTCATCAAACAAGCAGGTGGTGCCTCTGCCATATGACACCCATAAGACTGTGCTAAGAACATGCTTTTCCATTTCAGTTTTTATGTAGCAGAAAGTAAATGGGAGCATGCAGAGAGCAGCTGCTGTAAGAGAACAAGTATCTTTTTATAAAGAAAAAACATGAATATAATGAAAAAAAATGAAGCACACAAGACAACTTCTATCTCTGTTTATTTGGAGACGGAATGTCACATGAGATGAAATAAAAGGGAAGGCCTGTATCTCAAAAGCTTTCAGCTAGTAAAACTTGTTAGACTGGAAAAATATCCTACAGTCTTCAAGTTACTTAGGAAAAATGAAATGAACAGAGACATAAAAAATAAAGTGTACACCAGGGATAACTAAATAGAAAGATTAGGCTTTTGTGATTGAAAACTGGATACAACCAGGCTGTTTGGGCTCCCTCACTTCCTCAAAAATACATTTATCTGTTGGGTACCTGAGAAAATAACTTCCAGTCATGCTTTAGGTCCATATACCCCAAATCCAACCAAAGTGGTTACAAGTATTGGCATTTAAAGCATCCTGAGTAGATTCAAACAAAACTGAACAGCTTAGAAAAACAAGTGTGGGAAGATCACCCTTGTGGTAGCTTGTCTGGCAGCTCATTCATCTAGATCGGAATCTGTATAGCTACCTAATTTCTGTCAAAACAAAAGTGCCTAATTATATGAAAAGATGGAATTTTTTTTGCACAGCTAGTATACTTATACAGTTCTAATTTTCTTGTTGGTAAGTGAAGAGACTTCCAAGCAAATAGTGTAGAACACATCTACTTGATATTTTCTCTGATATGTTTAACTTGTCTGAGTAGCATCTTAGTTTCCTTATTATGTCTTATTTGAGACAAATGCTGATTTTTGGAAAAAAAAAAGAAAAAAAAAAAAAGAAAAAACTTGACTATATTTCAGAGGATGGCATTTTGTCACTGAACATCACGCCATAACATCTCTTCTAAGCATGTGCTAGCTTTTTAAAGGATTGTTTTTCACTTTGCACTCTAATAGTAATGAAGATTTCTTTCCCCCGTGTATACAGTTTCTTATCTGAACATATTTTTTTTAATTTGGACAGGAATGGTACATGCTACCGTTAATCATTTGATTTCATTTAAGTTTTCACATCTGAAAAAAAAAAAAAAAAATCATTGAAAGATAGTTATTATTCATCATTTGGAAAGTTTATTAAAGTATGTTTTTTAATATTTCTAAATATATTAAAATTGAAATTTCATTTATTACACTGTGGATTTGCATCCATGTTTTAATACTTCCTGTATAGAATACTGCATTAGTTTAGCATTAGAATGATTTTATTACTATATTATGCATCATCTTTTCACCTGTCACCTCTGAAGAATCTGTTTTTCTTCTCTTCAAAAAAGTCTTTCACTGTAACTCAGAAAGCGCATTTAGCTCTGACAGGTCCATGCAAAGCAGGTGGACTTCTTCTGCTCCCTGTTGCCTTGATGGCTTAGCTCCTGAATGACCATACAAGACAGTACATTAACTTCTGTTTTTACTAACTGAGAAAATTTGGTGGGATGATGGCCAGACCCAATGGTCAGAGTCACAGATTTAAAAAACAGACAAGCACTCTGTTGACTTACTAGGCATAAGCTATATTTATATATGATATTAAAAATACATATAAAAAATTACTTCCAGTGAAATGTACTCCTAGGTGGATTCAATGAATGCAGATTGCAATACATTGCTCTTCATTTGTTTTGAGTTAAATTTTATTCATTTATCCACTCCAGGAAAAGAATGCTAACACAGTGAATTCAACCTTACATTTTCCATGAGGGTAAGGCATCTCATGAAATTACTTCAGGTCCCTAAATTTCAGTGTAGCATTTTCTGTTTCAAACTACCAGGACAGAGAAAGCATTACTACAAAAGACAGTCAGAAAAGGGACAATCCTTTGAGAGGACACGGTACAACCAAGAAGAAAGGCTAGCAACATTAGCAGCTATGCAAATCCCAGATCTACACCTTGACAATGAGACGCACAAAGTCAATAAACCAGATACCAGTGTATATAAAACATAACAATTCTCTCCCCCTTGCAGCTTTTTACAGATTTTTACAAAATACTCTAATCTTGGAATTAATCCCCCTACTTCCAGATACAGTAGCATCATAAAGAACCTAAAGTAGAAGGTGGTCCAACTTGGGAGTATTGTAACTATGACTGCTGAGTATGTCTGAAGAGAGAATTACCAATCTCAGATGTATAAGCACACATAAATTCAGCATTTGTACTTCAGCTCTTGGTAGCTTTTAAAAATATGCTTGATGGCTATTTTGGCAAATGATAGGAAAGAGAAAAAACATATAATACTAATAAAGCTACCAGATAAAGGATCTATGTGCATTTTCTAGAGTGAAGTTTAATTCTATCAGATTTGTTTGGACGCAGAGGGAGCATTGCAGGAAAGTTTTCAAATCTAGTGTTTAAAAAAATAAGAAAGAAAGAAAGAAAAACCAATTAGAATATAGAAAATATTCTAGTAAGTAGTATTTTCTGTCTTCTCATTTTTTGTGAAACAACAATGTAATGCACTCAGCCAGTTAGATAAGCATAGTTTATACAGTTTATATAGTCAAGGAGAACCACAAAGGGAAGAAGTGATTTATCAGAATAAAAATAATCCTTCACATAGAAAGCCATGAATAGGGACTTCCTAGAGTTCTTCACAGACAAGAATGTTTTGTCGTTTTTTTGTTGTTGTTTTCTTTAAATCAGTAATGTTCAGCAATGGATTAGCATTCTTGTGAGAGCTTTTTTACATTCATGTTTGTTCAGTTGGGAAACTATGTGAAAAAATTATGGATGTTATTTCTAAAAATGCACCTCTGAGAAGTCACACATATCAGAATTTCCACTACCTGATCAAGAATCTTTCTTTTGATTTTAAACATTAATACAAGTATTACCTGCACATACACTAGTCCTGCACATGTCTTATTTCCCCTTCTTTTTTGTATAGCAGATGAAAAAGATACAGACAAGTAAGTAGAAAATCCCATTGCGCCAGCAGTGATCTTAAGTATGGTGTAAAATAACTCTTATTTGAAATAATTAAGAAATTACTTTTTAGAAGAGAATTTAATAATAATAATGAGACAAAACACAAAGGAAAAATTAAAAAAGGCATTGTACTCTTCAGTCACACAGGTCATTCTGGTCTATTTCTCTTCTGAATCACATCTGGTTCTATTTTATATACTTAGACAAATAATCTGCATCACAAAAGATTGTTTCATGAAATGTATCATCACATTCCTTTAAACACAAGGGTGTCAACGACATTTCAAGAGGAGCAAGATCTTGCCTGTGTTTAAGAGCTATAATAATTGGGCCTGCTGAGAATTTGGAAAGAGCATCATCTAGTTGCTAGATTCTGCTAGGGTCTAAGCAATACTAGAACTACTTTCTGTATATACAGAAATTTAAAAATGCAACAGATGGCATCTATTTAACTCTCTTGTTCTGAGTTTTTAATAACGACTTAAATGCCTGAAACAAACCTTAAGGATTGTATGATTACATAAATCATACTAGTTTAAGCTTTCTGTCTCATTCATTGCCAATGAAATTTAGATCAAGTCAGTCAAACTCTGAAAAGATGAGTAAATACTTTTAAGAATAAGGCCCTATACAGTTTTTTTAATAAGCAATAAATATACAGTAAAAATGGTATATAAAGAGTGCTAATTCTCCAAATAATATGTTGCTATCTTCTTCACTGTTTCACCCGTATCGGTGGTATGGCTGAGTCAGACAATTTTTAAGAGGAAAGATTTACTTCATCCATTCTTGTATCAACACAGATACAATCTAAAAACAATTTAAAATCATTTATGAGGAAAAGGAGTTGCATACACTAGATGCAGTTTCTACTCATCTTTTTGCATAGCTGTAAAATAACTTTTTTGAGTTAATACTTGTTTAATTCCATGCACAGACCATTCAGACTACGTGTTCCCTCTGCACGATTGTACTGGGAGAGGTATTTGCTTTC